CCACGTCATGTCATGTGAACATGTCAAAAATTATGTTCCCACAATATAAGAGGACAAAATCATAATACAAATATATATATATATATATATTTATTTGAAGAGGTAAAAGGTTGGGAAAAAGAAGAAGATGCTATTAGAGCATTATCTCCCCTTTATATGTCAAATTTTGATATGTCAAATTTTTCTGAATGTTTGAGTGGCAAATTAGGAATTTCAGTTACTTTACTAGAAAAATGAGTGTTGAGTGAAAAATAAAAAAATTGAGAGTATGAAGAATCTATAATGAAAATAATTAAAATATATATATATATATATATTATAACATAATTGGGCCATAAAGAGAGGAAAAAAAATAGGCCACACAAAATTAGGCTAACGATTAATATATTTACATATATTTTATATTTTATTTTTTTAATTTTATTATTATTCAACGGTAAATTAGCAGATATGACTTCATTGGTTTGTTACCGTTGAAATTCAAAAAAAAATTATGTTTTATTTCACTGTTAAAAACAAAAAATAAAAAAAAAATCTCCTGCAAAGTTCACTTACCTTTTAAAGTATAGGGCGGAACAGAGACCTTAGGGTCAATTATTGTTTTTGGTGTTAGCAGCCTTCCAATAATTTCCCTTGGATTTGAGAATTAGAACTAGGAACGAGAGGTGTGTGGGGACATTGGTCTTAAGGATATCAGAAACCACATCATGCCCAAATTGTTTTAGCAGGTTATTTAAATTTTTAATTATTTTAATGGATTAAAATTTTTATATTTAGAAAGAAAATTAGATTTTTTTTTATATAATTACATGTGATATTTGTAAAAAAAAAAATAATTATAAATTTTATGTGACATTTTATCTTATTAATTATTTTAATTCTTTTTTTGGTGTAAATTTTAACCTAAAAAAGCTAAGTCGTGCTACAGGCCTTGAATATTGAAGCGCGAATTTACTTAGAATTTGTCTAATCGGTCGTTTGGCCGGTCATCTGACAAAGAGACTGACAATTGCGGTCGACAAGGTGACAACCGCAATAGACAAGTGCTTCGCTTGGTCGTTTGATCGGTAACCACAAATTCACATCATTCGCACCTGAAACTCTCGAGATCTGAAGCATTCCAAACCGAGCAGATGATACAAATTCAACGGTTAAATATAGATATCCATGTGATGGAGTGATTTTGCCTCATAGTACCAGATAATGGTTGAATGTGTCGGCGGTGTGGTTAGGGACAAAACAAGACTTTATCGTGAGGTGTTACAATGGATTGCCACGTGTTTAATGTTTGGGACACATCAACATATTTTTCATCGGTTTTGGTTGGTAGCTCGAAATTTAGTGGCCCTAATGGCCCTAAATTTCCATATAAGGCAAAAAAAAAAAAAACAAGGCAAAAAAAAAAAGAAAAAAAAAACAAACTTATCCAGAAAAGAAAATTAGGACCATTAGGGCCACAGATTTTAGGGCCACAATTCATTTTCCATTTTTCATTGTCCTCTCCTTCCTTTTTCTCTCAAAACCAAGCTCACCAAACATAAATGTGCGGTGCGCCTAAATAGATGTTGAAAGGGCAATGGCAAAGGTTACCTCCAAATAATCTAATAATATAACACCAAAGCTTTTGGGTTCGTTTGGTGAGATGGTTTGTGACTAAAATATTCACAAAAGACAAAATAAGTTATTTTAATCACAACAAATAAAATATCGCATCTAACCAATAATCATTACACTCTTCTCTCACAAAAAAAATTAAAAAAATTAAAAAATCAAAAAGTCATTTTCAAACTAAACTTTTTAACCCAGACTAAAATAACAAAAAAAATCAAAAAACCAAAAAGTCAACCCACTTCTCAAACCAACCCTTAGATAGAGATTTTTCCCTTCTCACATACTTTTTCTTTTTTGTTTGGTTGAAGACTAGCAGTTCAAGCCAAAAATGGTTGGTTCTTGTTAAAATCTTGTTAAAATGGATAGGTAACACCTTTTACCTTTGAGGTTTTAAAAAAAATATATAATAAATTTAATAAATGTACACAAATATCTTTTTTATTAAAGTCAAAATAATATTGATATTAGGAAAAAAATACATCGATTGTTTTTATATTTTGATTCTTACAATTTTAATTAATTTAATTTTGAATCTAAATTTTTTTATTTTATTTTAATTTAGTCCAATTAATTAGAACCGTTAGCATTACTTTATGAACAATATACACATAAGTGGCTTGTGTCATGTTTGTAGGGATAAAATTATAAATTTAATCACACTACAAGAAAAAACATTTTTGGCGACCACCTATTTTTTTTGGTCGCAAATAGTCCACTTTCTGCGACTAAAATTTAACTTTTGGCGACCACAATTTTTTGGTAGCGGAAAATCACCTTTTGGCGACCAAAAAAAAAAGTTGGTCGCGAAA